TAACTTGTCTGTTCCCCTTCCCCCAATTCCCCAGCACTGTTCCCATCCCCCCAATTCCCCAATAAAAATCTTTAAAAAAAAAAAAGAAAGAAAAGAAATACAGGAATATAAAGTTGATTAAGTCTTCCTAGAAAGTAAAACAAACATACTAAGAGATAGAAAATATAGGAGAGAAAAGATAAGAACCTTGGAAACATTGGAGGACAATTCCAGGAGTTCAACATCAAAATAATAAAAGTTCCAAAAAGAAAAATAACAGAGGGAAATGGAAGGGAGGAAATCATCCGTGAACTAATTTGAAGAAATTTTCCAGAACAAAAGGACATGAGGTTGGGTCTACTAAGACCCAGCACTGTGGACAAAAATAAACCCACACCAAGGCAAATTAAAGAGAAGAGCCTAGAAAGTTCTAGAAAGAAAGAAAAAAAATGTACAAAGGACTAGATATCAGAAAGGCTTTGGATTTCTCAACAACAACACTAGAGGTTAAAAGCAATGCTTTCAAAACATTGAAGAAAGTTTACTTTCAACCTAGAATTTACATTCATTCAAGCTATCGATCAAGCAAAATGACAGAATATGTACGTTTTCAGACACATAAGATTTAAAAACGTTTACCTGCCAGAGTTTCTGGAAAACCTACTAGAGAAAGTGCTCCACCAAAACAGAAAGTAAACCAAGAAAGCAGAAAGCGTGGGATGCAGGACACAGGAGATCCACCACACGTGAGAAGGAAAGGGGGCTCCTTGGAAGATGATGAAGGGGGATACCAGGATGTCAGCTGTCCATCACATGTAGAAGGACACCAGTTCAGATCAGAGCCGTGTGACTAACTCAGGAGACACGTTGACAGCTGTCATCACCAAGATCCTTGATGTCAGTGTGCCGTCTTTGGAAGCTCAGGTCAGAATGTCTGGGTGAGCCTACAACTCTTACTTATACTTGTCTTGTCTTGTGGGGCAATGAGGCTACTGTTCTCCCCTCCATGCCCCGCTGCCTGCTCAGGAAACGTTCCACTTTGAACTGCTCCTGAGAGAAGGGATGGGAGTGAGCTCAGAAGCCGAGCACAGAGAAGCCCACTGCCCTGACCATATTGCATCCTGACGTCCATGGTCTGGTTGGTGCTGCAGCGCTTGTTTCAGCGAGCTCTGTGTTTGCAGGACTCCCTCCTGACCTTGTCCACTGCCACTCCCAGAAAAGTTTCTTGTAAACGCTCAGGGACGCCAAGGCCACATCAAGAACCAGAGGCTCTTTCAGCGTCTCTTCTCTCGGAAGTCTTCATGTATCAGAAGGCTGCCCTTTCCTTTCACAGTTAGGATTATGCTTGCTTCTCAGCATTGTTTGGGAATATACACATTTGTGGTACAACCATAAACAAAAGCAAGGGAAGGATTAGCCTAAAATCCGAGAGATTGATTTTCTGGGGTGGGGGTGGCAAAGAGGGAGTGGTTATGACCAAGAAAAAGGAACTCAGGGCCCTTCTAAGATAGTGGTCATGTTCTACTTCTTGTCCTGTGTGGTGGATACATGGGTGTTCATTTTATTATTTTTTTAAAAGAATATATGCATACTGTTTTCTTTTTTTACATATATTTTTATGTAGTCTGAATGCATGATACATTTTCAATATTAGTTTACATGCTTTAAATAGTATATTACATCAATAAGTCAACCAAAAAAACTCTATAACCATTTTAACAGATATTTAAAAGGTAGATTCAAAAATTAATAATGGTAGAATACCTCCTTAATTGATAAAAATTCCATTTCAAAAGAATAGCTAACCCTATACTTAGAGAAATGCAAGAAGAATTCCCATTAAAATTAGAAATGAAAATTCTGCTATTAATGCTGACATTTAACTTTGGTTTGCAAATTATTGCCAATGCAAAAGATGAGAAGAGAAAGGAGGAGGAAGATGAAGAGAAATAGAAGAAGAAAGAGCAGGAGAGAGGTAGAAGAGGAAGAGGGAAAATAATAATAAGGAAAAATATTGGGAAAGAATAAAGGAGAAGCCAAAATATCATTCTATTGTGAAACATTTGGAGAACATTAGAAAGAAGTGTAATTAAATTAAAGCTAAATAGCTCCATCAATAGCTTTTCTATATATGAAATGGGAGAAAAATCACATCGTCTATATAGGCAAAATGCATGAAAGAAAGAAATAAATTTATGACAAAATGAAAAGAACCTATGAGAAGAAAACTACGAAACTTAACTGAGAGGTATAAAAGAGGCCTTGATAAATCCCTTCACAAGTATACGTATATCAAATCATCATGTTATACACTTTAAATATATTATTTTATTTGTCAATTATACCTCAGTAAAGCTGAAAAAAACATAAGACCTTAATAAATGGAGAAACAAATCTTGTTTCTAGATCACCCCCTCAATATTTTATAAGGGTCATTAATTCTTTCCAACTTGATTATATGTTCTATCCCAATTAAAATATCAATGGATTTTTTTTCATTTTTGAAATAACTATTCTAAACCTCATCTGTAAGATAGCAGGCAAAAATACTTAAGAACCTTTGAAAAAAGAAGAGTGGCCAATAGGATGTATGGCAAAAACTTGTTCCTTTGCATAGTATGTATTCAATTACATAAATATTAAACTATATTACAAAGTTCCAAGGATTAAAAAACATTTACATAAATGTGAAACTATGTTATATAGCTACAATGGGTTTTTTTGTTTTGTTTTTGTTTTTTTAACAAAACTGTGATTCTGACACAAACATCAACAGGAAGCTCAAAGCAGTGGGAAGCAGCACTAACCAAATTGCCACCCCGTTTCTTTGCTCTTCACAGCAGAAATTCTCCAGAGTTGTTTGCACCATTGTCTCTATTTTCTTCCTTCCTACTCCAGTCAAGCTTCCGTCCTACTGCTCTACCGAAACAGCTCTGGTCAAGTCATGAGACCTTTAGATTGCCAAGTCCAGTGGGCCTAAATCTTCTTCCTTGATCTTCCTGAAACAGTAGACACCGTGGGTCACTTACTGCTCTTCGAGCACTACCTCCTCTTGGCTCTGGAGACACTGTCCCTGCCTGGCTCTCCTCCTTTGCCCCTCTGCCCCGTCCACTTACAGTCCTGTCTAGGTAACCTCATCTGGTAATGTGGCTCTAAATACCAACTCCAACCTCTAAGCTCAAGAATCATTGTCCAACCACCAATCTGACATCTCTGCTCAGCTAAGAGATGCTTCAAACTTGTCATGTCCAAACTACAACTCTTTTCCCAACCATTTCCCACAAAAAGTCAGCACAATAACTTTTCCTTCAGCCTCCCCATTCTTTCCTATTTTATTTAACAGTACCACCTTTCTCTACTCTGCTGACTAACCAAAAATCTAGGTGTTGTGCCGGATTCTCTCTTGCTTTCACTCTTACATCTAATTCATCAGCAAATTCAGGCAGCTTTCTCCCCAAAAGACTTCTCACATCAATCCTCCATGTCTTTTCACTGCCTGATAGCTCATTTCTTTTTAGTGCTAAATAATATTCCATTGTCTGGGTGAACCACAGTTTATCCATTCACTTACTAAAGAAAGAACATCTTGGATGCTTCCCAAGTTTGGACAATTATGAATAAAGCTGCTATAAACATCTGTGTGCAGGGTTTTGTGTGGATGTGTTTCCAATTCATTTGGGTAGATACCAATTGCTGGCTCATGTAGTGTGTCTAGTTTTGTAAGACACCGCCAAACTGTCTTCCAAAGGGACTGCACTAGTTGGCCTTTCCACCAGCAATGAATGAGAGTTCCTGTTGCTCCACATTCTTGTCAGCATTTGGTGTTGTCAGTGTTTTGGATTTTAGCTATTTGAATAGCATGTACTGGTGTCTCGTCATTTTAATTTGCAATTCCTTAATAACACATGATGTTGAAAATCTTTTCATGTGCTTATTTACCATCTGTATATCTTTGATGAGCTGTCTTTCAGATCTTTTGCCCAGTTTTAATTTAAGTTGTTCATTTTCTTATTGTTGAGTTTTAAAAGTTCTTTGTATCTTTTGGATAACACATCCTTTATCAGGTATGTGTTTTGCAAATATTTTCTCACAGTCTGTGCTTTGTCATAACTTACTTTTTAGTCAGAAAAAAAAGAGTTCTTCAGATTCAATATAACACACATCACCCAGGTGGGTGTCTCAGCACCTTAAACCCCTCCATCATCCAAGAATCCTGTGCTCTTCCTGGATCCCACGCTAGGATGTCCCTCACCTCCTCCCAGTGGCCTGGCTAACATCTTCCCTGCAGCTACTTCCCTGGCTAGCCTTCCTGAGCCCAGCCGTTCGCTCTCACTCCCTCGCCATCCATGCTCTTGAGATTTTCTGCCCCTTCTCCTAGGACAGAGGGTGCCATGTTCCAGGGATACTCCTAGGAGGGGACAGTGGACCAGGAATGGCATGGGACTCAGGCACCAGCCACTTGGGAGGGGAGTTTGGTTTGATCCTGAGAGGCAGAGGGAGCAAGATGACAGGATGAAGGGCCACAGCATTTGGAAGCAGCAAGTAGAGGCAGGTCTGGGGTGTGGTCCTCAGCCCAACTATTTGGGGCCCTGCCTCTAGAAGGTCAGAGCTCCCTCCCAGCACCCAGAATTCCAGTGCCTGCAGGTGACTGCCTGCTCTCTCCATTTGAAACGAGGGTGAATGAGAAGCAGATTGGTGAGGGGAAGGGGGCTTGAGGACTAGAGATGGGGACCCAGGAGTCCTGCTCTGCTCTGGTCCCACCCTCCTTCCCTCCTGCCACTGGCTCCTAGGATGAGGAGCTGGGGCAGGCTGAGAGGGGTTCCCTCCAATGCAGCGGTTCTCAACCTTTCACAGGGGTCGCCTAAGAGCATCGGAAAACACATATTTTCGATGGTCTTAGGAACCGAGACACCGCTCCTCTATCTGTCTCCAGGCCCACATGCAGATATGCCCACATATGAGTACCCGGCGACCCCTGTGAAAGGGTCGTTCGACCCCCAAAGGGGTCACGACCCACAGGTTGAGAACCGCTGCTCCAGTGAGTCTCTGTGTTTCATCTCTTTGGGTCTTTAGTTCTTGGGGATTAGGGGTGCATAGGGCAAGGGTCAGGGCAGTCTGCTGCACACTTTACTTGGTAATTAAAAAACAAACAAACAATGCTTTAATCTTTTGACAAGGACAGCTGTTCTCAAATGTCTATTTTGTTGGTCTCTATCTCTTTGTTTCTGCAGCCCTTAGACTTCACTCAACTTTACTGTTTTTCCAGTGTATCAGGTGCCTCATTTGCAAAGTGAGGATAAGAATAGTCCTTCCTTCACAGAGTTACCGGGAACACCACATGAGTTAGTATATACGAAGTGCTTTGAGCACATAGAAATGGCACACAAAAATAGTATGGATGTGTTTACTACTATATTCCTACGGTGTTAGCGTTCCAGGAGTGACAAAGCCCCTGGAAGGAACGGAAGAGGTGGATAAGTTTGGGAGCAGTGAACAGAAGAGACTGGTGGGGGGTAGGGGTACCAGGAGTGGGGTAGGGACAAGGAAGAGATGAAAGCGGCTAGGACAGCAGGTTCCTATCAGGGATGGCCTACAAGGTGTGCTCTGGCCAGCAGGTAAAGGTAATGAGGTTGTGGCTGGTAAGAACTGTGATGCCATCTGCAAGGTTGATCTGTTTAAGTTTTATAGGGCAGAGTAGGCCCCAGGGAAAAGTGTCCTGGTTCTCACATCCCTGTGAGAAAGCACACTCCCTGCTTAGAACAGAGGTCCCCTACTCTGCCTCTCCCACCTTGCCGCAGACCCCTGGACCCCTGGGTAGGGCAATAGGTCAGTGGCTATCCTGGGGCCCCTGCTCCAAGCCCCTCCTCCCACGCAAACACCAGTAGGAGCAAACCTCAGCTGGGCTTTGGCTCTTGACAGCCTGAAGCGCCTGGGGAACTCAGCTGTTTCCACAGCAGGGGAGAGGAGACTGCTGTCCTGAGAAGCTTCTGCTGTGACCCTCCGCCCTCCCTAGTAACGTTCCCATCCCTCAGGTGCTTGGAGGACAAGGAGCAGCTGAGGGGTCTGTGGGGCTGAGAGAGGATGACAACAGAGCTAGCACGGGCAGCATCCACGTGAGGCCTGGCCAGGGCGTCAGTGGGGGAAGGCACGCCCCTCTCCCTCGACCACCAGAAGGGAAGCCAGCAGCGCCAACACAGGTCAGGCTCCCCCGGCTCACCTGTGCACACCTCCCTCCTCCCTGCAGCCAAGGGCTGGGAAAGAACCTCACAGCAATCTCTGGTCTTCATCTCAACCCTCCTCCCAGTTTCCTGAGACCTTTGTTATGTAAATGGCAGAATTACTAAATGACAAAGTTGATGCTGGGGACACTCCTGGACCTCACTTACCAGAGGGCCTGGGCTGGGCAGGGAATGAAGGAGAAGGGGACATGTTCTATGCCTGAGGCTGCTGAAGAGAAGCGAGGAACCCTCTGCAGGCCCTCAGGTTTTTTTCTCTCTCCCTCACCACCCCTTCCTGCCCTCTTTCCTGGGCGGTGAGTGGGAAGGTTGCCATCCGGAATGCAGGCTGTGGGTACAAGGAGCACCTCACTCCCACCACAGGTGTAGCCTCTGATTGGGTTGCCTGTAGAAGAGGGACTGGAGGAACCCCTTTGTAAAACCTTTCCAGGAAGAAGAGCATGGATGAAAGGGGCAAACTGGAAATACTACAGCTTCAGGCGACTGGAACCAATTGCCTGAAACACATCCTGTGTTTTACAAGGAGAAATAACTCTGTCCCGGAGTCTGAAATCCTAATAATGGGTCTGAACCAGCCTTACTCGGGAACCTGGAGGCCTGTAGTCCAGTCCTGTCTGGGGCAGAGCTGTGAAGAATGTCCCAACCCTTCTCTCAGGGCTAGGCCACTACTGATAGGAGGGTGACGTCATGTCTGCGAGGGCAAAAACAGGAAAAGATTGGAGGGCGGGGACCACCGGGAGATTCAGGGCAGGCAGGAGCTCAGGAGATGCTAAGGGAACCCAGAGGCGGCCATTGAGAAGCTGAGATGAGGAGAGACTGCTTAACGGGCACCCTGGGCAAAGTGTGTTTTTCCCTGAGGGACCAGACTCTGCCAAGCAAAGGAAAGTGGGTGGGCTGCTCCTACCCAAGCCCTCACAGCCGGGGGGAGGGGGGGCATGGAGGCAGGGTAGAGAATGACATACTGTGAGAGCTCAAAAACTACTGACTCATTGAATGAATGCAGGGGAGGGGATAATGGTGTATCCTCTAGTCTAGAGCCATGCTGCTCACAGTGTGCTCCAGGGACCAGCTCCTCTTCCCAGTATCTCCTCGCAACGCCCCCTCCCCCTCCAAGCCTTCCGGCCTTGAACCCAGTGCTGACTGAACAGGCTCATTCAGAGAAGGGAGCCCAGACAAGGGGGTGGAGGCAGACCTTAGAGCAGGGTTTCTTGATCCTTGGAGGTGGATCAAGACCCCTTCTGAGAGTCTGCTGGAAGTTCTGTTCCCTCTGCCCATAAAAAAGGATAGACAGGGCCGGCCGAGTGGCGCAGTGGTTAAGAGCTGGCTTGGGATGCCAGAGGGCCCCGGTTCGGATCCCACATATGAGGGCCAGTGACACTGCCCTCTACAGCTAAGATGCTGAACAACAGCTCAACCTGGAGCTGGGCTGCCGTGAGTCGCCAGCGATGGGGTAGGCTGCAGCCCCTGTGGCAGTGGGTTGCCATGGGCTACCGTGTGTAGCCAGCACCCAGCGTGAGCAGCCAGCAGCCGCCGTGAATGGCCGTCCAGAAGCCGGCGACTGATCTGCCTCGCCCGGGAAGAGAGCAATGATGGTGCCAACTTGGGCCAGTGAAGCAATGTCCTTCACAACTAGACTGAAGAACAAAAGGACAGTAACTTGTCTGTTCCCATCCCCCAATTCCCCAATTTAAAAAATAAAAAAAAATGACACACAATCTTGCACACATGGCAGGAGCTCATAGAACCTCTAGAGCCCATCCACG